ACACCTGATTCAACTCATCAGCTCATTAGTGGAGACTGCAAGACCTGAAGTGGGTGTGTCAGATATAGGGAGACATACAAAATGTGCAGTGCTGGGGGTACTCCATGGAGAGGTTTGAGAACCACTGTCCTAAGGCATAGTTCAGGTACACCTTTAGTTAAGGCATACCTTTAGAGTCTTGATAGAGTGCTAAGAGACAGCGTTATCGGGAAACCCAGCCCTATAGTCAGTATGCTATTTTTGCAGAGTCAGAAATTGTTCTATTTAAAAAAAATAAAAATAAAAAACCTTTTTTCATTCGCTTTGCTCAATGTATGTTTCAACGTGCTCCTTTTGATTTCGTGAACTATGTATTTCATTTGGTCTCGGCCGGGTCTCATAGAGTTTTTGTACAAGTAATACAGAGCGTGGTCGTAGTTATAGCACAGTAGCATAAAGCCAGACAATAACTAATGCTCTACTTCTGGTGTTCATAAAGCAGAGTAAGAAAGAAATGTCAGACTTTTCAAGAAATCATTGTAAAGGTGATTCAAACAACAAATAATCCAACATGCAGAAAAGCATATATGGAGCTTTATGGAGCATCAAAATGATCAATGAAAATAAAGATTGTACTCCACGAATTTTTCATACTTTATTAAAATACATGAATATTCCAGAAACTCTTGAACATTTCTTGAAAATTCGCAACAAGAAGAATCATTGCTGAGAAATGCATTTCAGACGATTCCATAATCCGAAACTTAAATATCGAAATCGTATCAAAAGTGTATTATTAGGCTATTGGGGAAGACAGAGCAAGACGCTTCGGGATGACCCTGGTGATTCCCCTGCCTTTTAGCTCCGCCTACTGGCGCGTCAAGGTACTGGACTATTTAGCATTGAAATCACTTCAATCTATATTGAAATGTGTGTTGTCTCCTGTCAGTGGCAGCTGTCATTTTGTCTGTACATACATTTATAAGTGATTGATTTATTAATTTCATAGTTTGCTTATAATTTAATCTAGCCATTTTATTTAATGCCGTTTAGCTTTGAATGTCGATCTATCCATTCACTATAAGGAACATCTTGTGCCTGTAGATTTATATTTGATTCATCTTATTAAGTTATATTCAGTGCTTAACATGTTTGGTCATTTTAGTATTACTACTCAAAAAATAAATAAACAAACAAATAGGCGAAATAAATAAAATAAACAAATTAATATAAAGAAATTTGAGCAAAGATTAAACATGATCATGAGAATTTGAATGACAGCAAATGCTTCAATGAAATAAAGTGAATTTTCATGTCAAGTGTTCTGTGACTTCTGTCAACACTGGAGTAAAAGGCACACATTGATAAACATAATGAAGGATGTCCCATTATGCACACCATAGTTGATAAGAGTATGCCAGAGTGTAACCCTGGTGTGATAATGATCCTCTTATTTGAAATGTTTACATCACTGTGTCTTTCCTCAAAATGGTGGGCATTCAAGTGCACTCATGCTGCGCTCACATCATAGCCTAATGGTCACATGACTTTCCCCCACCATGAGTCGTTCATTTTGAAGGAATCTTTGGTTTCAGGAGACCCGAGTGTTTTGTCTATTAATCAGTAACAACACAACACACAGAAGGCCATATCATACAAGAACAGGATAACCTACTGTACAATTAAAATAGCCTACAATTGATCCTAAATTAATTCTTTAGTTGAGTCAGTAGATCTCAAAACTTTTATATTCATTTCTGAAAGAAAAAAGAGATGAAAGTTGTATGCACTGTTAACAGTTTAGTATTGGCTTTTAATATGAACATTTAGTTTGTTTGTTTGGTTTTGTTTTGTTTCGTTTATGATAAGAATTTATGCACTCTCAGAAAATTAGGTGCAAAAGCGGTCACTGGGCCGGTACCTTTTGGAAATAATACACCTTAACTCAATTACCTCTATAAGGTGCACATTAGTAAATTAAAGGTACATAATAATACATCGTGTATATGTTAGTATTTTTAATGGTACATATTTGTACCTCTCTCTTTTTTTTTGTTTTTTTGCACCGGTGAAAGTTTTTGTACCTTTTTTTCCCCCTAAGAGTGTGCGGCTGTCACGTGACGTGAATCATTTATCTTTTCTGTATGGAGCCGACATGCGCCTGCCACATGACAACCATGAGTGGTGAACTAATTATTTCTGTTTCTCATAGTTTATCTAAAAAGGCTGTATTATTACGATTTCATAGTTCGCATCATGTGATCCAAGTTTGCACAAATGGGCATGTATGACCGTTATGGGAAGGTTGTTTCTTCCATTTCAGGGACTTCTCTGATGTATATAATTTTGTTTAGATAGTAGATAGGGTCCTGGACAAGGGTAAAACAATCAAATCTACACACAAAATGCATTTCAAAACTCAGATGGGTCATGTAGGCTAACTGCATCTTCGGCTTCACTTGAGGACTCGTGACTGTAAAAGACATCAATGTAAATAGTTTTCACCACTGGAGGGCGCAAGGGTCAGCAATATGCAAAAACAAGTACGTTTAAGACCTTGCATGAAAGTGCATTTGGAGGACTCTGCTTTTTAGCGCCATGTGCATTCAGGAACTGAGAATCTATAAAAAACATTATTATTTTTTAAGACTTACATTACACATAACATTTATCAACTTTTTTAGTAAATGTTAAGAAAAGTAGTGTACTTTTTTTAATAAACGTTTTTATTCGTATAGTGATTGCAATAAAGTTATGCTACAGAAAGTATATATTACATCTTTTCCAAATTAAATACGCTTTTTTCACATTTTTTAATTACGCATTATAAGTGTAAAATAAACCATGTACAGCATTAATAAATATAAATAAAATATTAATATTAATAAAGTGTAATAAAGTAAGTCGTTGCTGGCTTCGGTTTTAAAACATTTCAATCTTCCTAAGAATTGTTAGTCATCAACACGAACGCAGTTTCACTTCAGCAGGTGTGAGCAAAAAGAGGAAGAAAGAGAGACCTGACTACATAGACGCTCTCGAATAGATCTAATTTTGACATTCTGAAATTCCTTCGAGAGAACTTATAGTCAAATGAAACACTCGCCCAGCATATTTGCATATATCAGCAAAGCAACATTTCTTAGATATCAAAACGATTGTGAAGTTTTTTTGCAACACGCCGAATTCTCAGTTTCAAGGAACATCATTTTTGGATAGACCACAAAATGTAATTAAAAGGAATCTTAAGTGTATTAATGAGCATGCTACATATTAAGAGGATGTTGTTACATTTGTATCAGATCACAGAATAAACAGTGTTTGTAAAATGGGCATTTTACAACATGACAATTTGTTTTGAATTCTTTGCAGCTCAGCATGCTTGTTAGAAACTGCACATGGGTTGTTCAGTTTATTACTGTTTGGCTATTATTAAGAAAAAAAATCCTTGAGTGCTGGACAGTTTGCAGCTGCTGAATGTGAGATGTTCATCTGCACTGGTGGATCCCCAGAGATGAAATATTTAAATACAACACCCGAAAACCGAGAGAGAAACACACAGTAAAATGTGATGTGAAACACATTGCAATGCACATTTGCATGACCCTAAATTCCAGCTTTTCTAGGAATTTGTGTGCAGTTTAAATCAGTCTTAAAAGAACATAAAAAATAATTGTAAAAATTTAGATTTTTCAGATTCGTTTGAGATGTGACTCTCTTCAAAATATTCCAATGGTGTTCAAAAGCTTTACTTTATTAATCTGTATGATTTAGCAGTTCATCAGAAATCTACAGATGTTTTTGCCCTCATACTTTTAGATAAGCAGCAAACACATCGAGATTGAGGTCATGGCTGTATATTTTAGATAATATTCTCACATTTTAGTATGTCCTGAGGGATCTCTACTAATATCACAGTAATATCTACTAAAAATGCAAGATAATGTCATTTGTAGTAAGAGGCTGATATGATATTCAAAAGAGTAAAATCTCATTTTGACAGAGATATAATAAGACTTTATTGATATGTGTACATATTTGTCAGTGTCTTCAAGAATGTGTGCACAGAGGCAAATTATGTAGTTTCAACATCTCAGAAAGCCCATATGTTTTTCAGACAAGCTTACAGAAAGACAGGAACAGACAGAGCAAAAGAGAGATAGAGATGGCGTGGTTATTTTCCTTTTTTTGATTTCTAAATACATTAGACTAACATTTAATTACAGTCACAAAACAAATAAAAAACCTTGGAGTCTTCACAAGTTCTTTTAACAAATCATCACTGCTTCACCTGCAAAAAAATATATATCTATAGTTAAAAACACATTAACGACTTAATGCAATCTAAATTGAAGCATGCATTTAACACTAGCAACATGCAGTAAAAGTTCCAAAAGGCATCATCTTACTTAAAATGTTCGGCACGTTATTTAGTAATATTTGTATTACCTTGAAGAAGCTGAGCACAGCGCTGTAGGTCAGAGAAAAGAGGAAGAGGAAGATGAATGAGGTGGCAGTGGACCAGAGACTTCTGAACTCATCCTCCTCCAGAACATCTTTATTGCAGTCCAGAGCAAAGCCTGTCTCTGGCTCAGGTGGCTCACCTGAAAAAGAAAACACATGTACAGGAGACATATGTATGGTAAGCACATGGTGCAACACATATGTGAGAACATAAATCATACATCCTGAATTAAAAATCCAGTATTATTAGACTTCTAGTTAGTAACACTTAAGCACATGACAGCTTTATGTACTGCATACGTGTATTCACATACATTCATTTGCACACACAACTGAGTGTACACTGAAGAGACAAACATACAGTATATTATAGTCCAGTCTGTTAGACATTGATAGTGCATTAGAACATACACTTTATACAAATATACATAGGTATATTATTAAATTTATGGTATGCTTATCAAGTAACTTACTTTTTTCATCTGACATACTAATAATACAAGTGCACCTAATAAATATCACATATACCATCTTTTATTGATTGAAAAGGCCAATAATTCCTTGTGATTTTGATGGTTATCTTTAGAATTTAATAAGTGGCTTTTACTAGAGACAGACACAAAAAAATTTCTAAATACTGAAGAAAAAAAAAGAAAAAGAAAAACGGGAGCAGAAAGTGAAGCACACCAAGTTTCTGATTAGAAAAACGATGTGAGAGCTGGACTAAATCATGCAAACAAATATTTATTGCTTGTAAAACAATACAAAAATGGCATGTTATATTATAGGCTAACAGCAGTACAGTAAGCACGGAACAAAACATAAAGAAGCTCTATGATATTGTTCCGACAATGTTTTCATGTGACCATATTTATGTGATCAATATCAAATTAAACATATAGTCTTGAGTGTAATTTGACTTTGATGTTTGACCCATGCAGTAAAGTGATACAGACATACAGACAGAAATATGCACAAAAAACATCAAAGATACTGTACATAATCTGACGAGACAGCAACAGGACAAAAGCACTGGAACACTGAACAACAGATGAACAATGATAGTTTGGGAATGCTTGCACATTAATCACATGAAAGTTCTGGGTGTTTACTTCGGCTTGTTGAAACTTCTAATGGAACACTTCTTTTGTCCATGTTGGCATATTTGACTGCGCAGCTGATGGTGTTTTCATACTCTTGTTCTGAAACTTTTAGGATGCTGAGAACAGACGTGGAGTCCTTTTGATGGATGGGAGCACTGTTTGTGCCCTCTCTGTAAGGCTCTTCACCCACTCTCCACATGATATAGACATCGCCGAGTTTAAGACTGGTGACCTCACACACCAGAGAGACATGATCTGTGACTTTACTATCGGGTTTGTAAATGGTAACACTTGGTTTCTTTTCATCTGAATTGGAGGAAGTAATAAAGGTTCATTGAACAAACAGAAAAATCACACTATAATGAATAACAATAGTGTATCAAGGCAGTCTAATCTTTTTGACAGAAATAATTTCAAATTGAAGGCAATATTTTATCTTATTTGTATTTTTTTGCCAGGCAATTAAGTTATAAGCATCTATCATAAATGCACATAGAGCCACAAAGTTGATTATTTAAAAGTTTTAGACTGACTTACCTCCTTTTTCAGAATGGATCTCCCGCTTGATGTCTCTGTTATTTATGTCACTGATGGTGCAGGTGACCATCAAACCATCTCTTTGTATTAACGATGACTTTGTGAATTCTTATAAATTGTGAAGTGTCAGTAGAAAATTCAACATTCCCTGTTGTGATATTTTCATTGGGCACACTTTCATCCTTCACTTTACATGATACTGAAGTGTCTTGCACTGTATTTTTTACATCTCCAGAAACAACAGCTTGCAAGACAATTTTATCATTAACAAAAAGTTCTTTCTGAATTGGTGGCTTCATTGTCAGTGACAATTTAGCTACAAGGGAGAAAGAAAGTAAATATTACTTAATGTGTAAATTTGGTGTCATCTGTGATATAAATATCTAATATGTGTATATCTGTGAATTGGGATCAGTTTGAAGGAGTGTATCTTTGTGTGAATTTGAAATAGAAGTTAAAGTGTGAACTAGAGAGAGCAAATCAACATTAGAAATCTTCAATAATACACATGACAGATTTACTTTTTAGGGTTGTTACAGGAACCAGGGTTGGATTTCTTGGACTCCCTGCAATTAAAACAATGATTACATCCAGTGAAACTGTGGAGGACATCCAATACTTTGCAAACTTATGTACACATATGTAGGGTGATCTGGCGGTGGAGCTAGCAACATACAGGTGAAAGCAGATAGGTCATGAAAAGCAAAAAAAAAAAAAAAAAAAAACGGGGCAAAATGCCTTTTAAAGCAAGATAAAGAAGAAACAATTTCATGAAAAGCAAAAAAAAAAAAAAAAAAAAACGGTGCAACATGCCTTTTTAAGCAAGCAAATAAAATGCTCTTGTAGTTCAGTTTGAACTGCAATGTTAAATGTTGCATATTTATATGTAAATAGTTTTAGTAAATAGGGGGGGGTCTCATATGTCATTGCATTCCCTGACATAGGCTCAGAAATGAAATATTTCCGATTTCAACAGCATATACAATAGAAAGACACATGAAGTAGCTAATGTAAAATGTAAAAAAACCCAAATAATAATAATTTGAAATGTAACTTACGTGGAGCAACAGGGGAATGCATTGTGCCTTTAGAATTTGAAGCTTCGCATTTGTAAGGTTTCTGAGGATCCCAATCGCTTTTTCTTATGCGCAGAGAGCTGATTTTGGTATAGTCTCCATCCGGTCCGAATGCTGGATACTGCACGAAATCACTCAACACCTTCGTAGTAGAATCCGTCCATTTAAAAGTAAGCGAATCCGCAGGTGAGAAACCTCTTGCCAAGCAGCCGATGGTGAGGAACCCATCAGAATCAGAAGTACACTGGGACATGGGGAAGATTGACTTTGGCGCAGAAGGCTGAGCTGTAGAGACAACGCATCGTTCTCAGACAATATAGAACCTGTATAACGTATATATGCAATACTTTTAGGCCTATTAGAGAGCTAGACTACGTCTCAAATAAACGACTGAATGGATGAATTAATGAATAATATAAAAATATAACAAAATTAAACTAAAATGAAATAAATGATAAATGAACATATAATAAAATAAAACAATATGATTGAGTTTAACTGGTTTTACACGAGAAGACACTGCGGAGTATCTTCACTTTGCGTCAATGTCCCGATTATCCTACTTTGCAGGAATGATCATCTTAGTATGTTATGCCGCACACAAGCTATTTAACAAATAAGTAGGCCTACGTATGCTACTACATGGATATTAAATATTGATTTGAAATTGTGGAGACCGAAGAGAACACGAGCGCAGCTATTTTGAAGCAGGTCAGCCCTGGATAGCCTAACTGTTATTTATTAGACGCTGATTGACCAATTAGAATAAAGTATTTCGATGAGCCGCATAATAAAACACACGAACTAGGTAAAACATTTCTTTCTCTTGGATGCTGTAATAAATAAAGTGTTATCTAAACTAATTTATCACTGGAATTTTTGACTGCAGAATTACTTTTCAGTATGTTTTAAATGAATCACTTCACATAACCTATGAAATATAAGTTAAAACAAACAAATAAAATTAAAACAATGACAACCTTTTGAGAATTTGAAATAAGAGCACTCACTATATAGCAGTTTGTAACCATGGAATCATGCGAAAATGTGATAATTAAATCGATTAATTGCAAATATTTATTAAATAGCCTACTGGTTGTTTATCGACCAAAGACCTACGCCGTTGTTTTATTCATTTATTTACTTTATTCATGATTTAAAACAGCTTAATTATATTTTAATAACACAGGATGCAATCTATTATTAAAAAATACAACACTTAGGCCTAATGGCTGTATCAGTGTAGAAAAACGCGTCGGTTAGCAATAACTACTACTATTATTTTATTTTTTAATGTTTTACTTTTAGCAGCTATACAACGAAACAATATTATAAAATTATGTAGTCTTTTACAGTTTCTAATGAAATAACCAAATAACCATTCATTTGACAGCAATTAATATTTTCAATTAATATATTCAATTTTGTCTTATTTTACGATAACTGTCCTTGCCATTAATAATAAAATCTTACTGTTTGTTACGGTGACTTTGGTGCCGCTTCCCCAGAAGTCGAAAGCCCAGTTACACAATATTCTTTTAATGTTACAGCGCAGTATAAAAATGCAACTCAAAAATGCTCAGGATCTGTTAAATGGCTTGTAGCCGATTCGTTGTTTTATCTGAATGCGTGTAGGCTACACATCAAAATATGTACAATTTAATTATTCATAATTAATGTGAATCTTTGCGTTTCCAGCAAAACTCTAAAGACATGTTCCGACTTCAATTGTCCGAATCGTAGAGTAAATAGCCATTTAAACGTTGCTTAAATATAAAATCAACTTTTTGACAAATTAGCCTACCTGCCACAATTTTTGGTACTTAGATCAGATTTTGTTTTAGTAAGTTTTTCTTACCTGACGAGGCAGTGACCATGGTTCCTTTCCCCCAGTAGTCAAAAGCATTGTCACACTGACAGTTTTACCCATGGATATTGTACAAAAATAGTACGCTATATGACAAGTCACTTTTATTTATTATCCTAAGCCACAAATTCGACTATTTATCCTTTTAATTCAGTCTAAGTTTCATTCTTGCAAAACGGACAAGCGGTCTGTACATTTAGTTTTCCTATTATTTTTAAAACATGTCAACGCTTATGAAAGATTTAAATTGTACTTCTTACCAGATGTCACTGTGACCGACGTGCCTTTCCCCCAGTAGTCAAAGGCAGCGTAGTCACAGTGATACTTTTAATTTCTTCAGTGCACAAAAACTCTAACGATTTTTTTTATCAGCAAACCCAGCTACAATTCTATTTATTTCATAATTAAATGCAACATTGTCCATGATTTCTCTCTCTCTCTCTCTCTCTCTTTAAACTAGTAGACTAAAAAGTCTGTTACTAAACATGCATTTTTTGTAGTTTGGCTCTAACTAAACAAAAATCTGACTTCTTACCTGATGTTACAGTCACCGTTGTTCCCTTTCCCCAGTAGTCAAAGGCACCGTCACAACGAGAAGATTTACGATAAGAGCCATACCATAACCCTAATAGTACATTTACACTGTCTTGCCATAGGCCTCCGTTATCAAAGCGACTAGTTTTGAGATTTTAGTGCGCACTTTCTTTAATCTTAGAGTTTTACTCGATATTGTTTACGATTACCGACGTCCCCTTTCCACTATTAGCAAAGACAAAAATTGTAAATACGGCTGCATGTTATTTGTGTCAAGACCTTACCTGATCTTCAAAATTTTATAAAAATGGAATAACAGAAAATGTCAACAATATCTTACCTGAGGAAACGGTGACTTTGGTTCCTTTCCCCCAGTAGTCGAAGTAGTTGACACAGTGACTGGTGCCTTTGAGTTACTAACCAAAAACCGACAAGAAGAAGCAATGTTCATGTGATCAAACCTCAAAGCCAACATTTGTTATTTTACCTTTCTTTTAAAAGGATTCAGTGAAAACATCTCTTCAGCATGCCTTTCTGTAGCTGCCCTCCAGTGTAGGTCAGAAATATGATTTGCACTAAAGATATAGCACTAATGTTCTATACTATCCAAAACATGAAGACACTGATATTAAAAAGTAAGGCAGACCCTGTCCTTCTCTTTCATATCGGACAGGGTCAACCATAAATGCCTCTCCGCTGCCACCAGAGCTGCCATGGACCGCCCTACCCCTTGCCTGAAGTGGTTCGCAGCGATGCGCGCCGGGTGACAGATAGCTCGCAAGCGTCTGCTCTACCTGCTCTACC